TTGAGCGCGAATTCAACCAAACTCAACAAGATCCACTTGAAATTTCTTCAAAGTTTCAAAACTTCAACATTCTTTGATGGTAGAGTTCTCCACAACTTCAAATCATTTGAAATTTTAAACATAGACTCAAAAAATAGTAGGGAACAAAGATTTAATGTCAAAAACAACTACAAAAACATGAAACAAAGCAATTTTTTGAAATTTTGGGACTGATTTTTGTTTTTATGGAATATTTTTTTAAATACGGGTGAATTATTTTAACTCTACAAATAATTTTAGAATTTTAATTTTTCAAAAAAGTAACTAATGATGTAGCTGGAATTTGAGATGATTTCGTGAAGTATTGAATGTGTTGAAAAGTTGGGAGTTATTTATATTTTTCATGTGTTCTTGGTATTCTTAAGGAAGAACAAGCAAAAAAGTGCATTTGATCCAGAAACTTCACTTAAAAAGTGTTAAACCTTGTTTGGGTGTAAAAAGTAGTTTTGCAAAATCGGAGTTAGAAAATGGCATGGATGAGCCTTTTCTTTAACAACAATGGCATAGATAAGCCAATTTTTTTACGGGTGGCATAAATGAGCCTTTTTTGAACTTTGATGGCATATTTGAGCCTTTTCCCTTGATTCTAAGGTTCATGAATTGGGTTACTATATTAGGGGAGTAATGAACTTACATTTATCAAAGAATTTGACGGGAAACTTGCAGAAAATGCCCTAGGTCGCCATTACTCTTCCCAAAAGTGAGTTTGCAGAATAATGGTGGTTTTGAAACGTTTCTACATAAATTCATGACTTATCCCGATCCAACCTGTTATAGGGGTCCAACCCGTTATTGCGTATCCATCATATTGGGACCACCTGCTAAAGCGGGAATTAATTCCCCTCTATAGCGACATGACACCAGCTAAAGCAGATTGCATGGGATATGAATTCAAAATTCTCTTCGAAAATCTCCATTTCACAACACACCTTCAAACTTTAATGTTCTAAACTAACCCCTTCACCCAAGTCCAATATTGAGAGTTCTACTTACCCGAATTTACTTACGAAAAGCCCTATGAATTTCTTAATGTCTTAGATAATAGAAAATCCAATTCAAGCTTAAACATTTTACCCAATTCATTCCCGAATTTTTCTAGACCGCACCTTGCTTAGACTTCGTTTGAGATTAGCCTAGCTCAAAATTTTCAAGTCATTATTCCAAGAGTTTTCCTGCCCAATGTATTTCACCCAAGACTTAACCATATGGACTAGAAGGGGTTGTTACAAGCAAACTAGAAACATTCGAAATCTACCATTAACTTTGATCGTTAGACTTTTTATGAGTGATTCTTCAAAATAACATTTGTGTAAAAGAGAAAAATCGGGCAACTAGGGTTGATTTGTGTGAATTAAGAGATTAAATAAAAGCTTTTGAAAGAAGGTAAATATTAGAGATGGTGCGTACTATTTATTTATATGGACATCCACATCCATCGCATTTCCAGTGTGTCATGCGCATATATACACAATTAATTTAAGCATTGCAGGTGTACACGACGGTTGTAGAAATAGGTTCTGAGAGTACTTAATACAAGTGATAGTTTATGTGTTCACTACATAAAAAGCTACGAGCTGAGGGGGGGAGGGCTTTAGTATTTCTGCCTTTCTTAAATCATCTCTTAGATCATACTAACAAAGAGGAACATAAAATAAAATAAAGATCTAAACTTTACAAACCTCATAACCACAAGCATCCATAATTTGATTGGAGGCTACCAACTTTAACTTGTAATTAGTGACGGATCTAGGATTTTAAGGTTGTGGGTGCTCTGAAAATGGCGGAGTCAAAAATGTAAAAAATACATGTTAATAATGAGATTCGAACTTGGGCTCAACAACACCACCAAAAGAGCCTTAAGCACCCACCCAAGAGTCAATGGGCCAATCAAATCATTTATTCAATGGGTGCTCTATGTTAATTTTATACAAATACCTCTTACTTTCTACATAGATATATATATTCCGAGACGAGGTTAATGGGTGCCACATGGGTCCGCCCCTTTTTGTAGTACATATAATTGTTTACATGCTATACTTTAATTTGGACACAACTCTCTCTCTCTCTCTCTCTCTCTCTCTCTCTCTCTCTCTCTCTCTCTCTCTCTATATATATATATATATATATATATATATATATATATATATATATATATATATATTAAATTATATTAAAATCATGTCTTAAATATTAGAGAAGTATTTAAATGATTATTTCCGTATACTAAAAAAATAATTATATTACTTTTTTGTCTAATACAAACCCTATGCTAAATTTAAGAAATATCACTCATAAAAAAATATTTACAGATATATCTCTCTTATGATAGTTTGAATCTTATTAAAACTACTAAAATAACTTGGAGACATTTTTTCCCCTACTAATGCACGCTAGGAACCAAAATTATTAGTATCCTTACTCCTTAGTTTAATTAAAAAATAAAATTGTATCAACCGAATAAAATTAAATAATTATTTGAGGAAATAATGTAGAAGGCTTTTTCTAATTCTTCTTTTCATATATTTTAGGAATTTATATTCATTCTTTTAATACCTTGTAAGATATATTTTAGTATTTTTATATTTTTTTCTTTCTATATATTTTAGGACTCGATATTATAATCAATACTATAAAGATTTTAACCCGTTCTGCATCACAAAAATCCGTAGATGGTTCAGCGGCCAAGAAGGCTCCTTTCCTTAGCATGGATCAATACCTTATGGGTGGGTTTAAATCTTTTCGGGTTAAAGCCGAAGCGGCCCGCAACCACCTCATTGCCATCTCTATTGAGACTAGATAATTTGAGGTCCGTGATACAGGCCCAATATAATTTCACATATTTTGTTGGAAAACTTACATAAATTCATAACTTAAGCTATTATAATCCTCTCTCGGATACATCTATTCCCTCTCGGATACATACCTATCCCCTCTCGAATACATCCCTCCCCCGAAGTAATATGCCATTTGCAATGTATTGGACAACCAAGGAATGTATCCGAGAGCAATGAAAAATTTGAGATTTTTGTAATTGAGGAAACTTCCCGGATATGATGTAATTAGCCTCCAAAGATATGATATTTTTGTACTTTATACTATTTTTTTCTTTAGTAAACAACTTCAATATATTACTTCATAATCTATTTCAAATGGTCATACGACATAAATGTGTCGTTTACAACCTAAATTAAGAAAGTTGAATTTTAAAAAATTCTATGCAGCAAGGAAATATATAGAGAATTGTGTTAGATTATGAGTTAAAATATTTTGTGTTCGAGGAATATATAAAATGTTGATATCTTTGAAAAAGTTCATCGATCTTCATATATATTCGCAAGTGGTATCTATTTTCCACAATGTTATTATCTTCGTTTTGTAATATTTGCACCATAAGCTTTGCATCTGATAAAATACTAATCATTGATCAATCAATTCATAAAGATCGATTTAAAGTCTTTCAAATCTCTATTGCTTCAACTTAAGTATATTGTGTTTGTAATTGGCTTTGTCGATGAATTTTGTGATACATTTTATTATTGTCTTCAATAAATAGAAATACTTAAAAAATTGATTTCTAACTTCACAACAATAAAAATAATCAAGAAAGCAACTTTATTTCTATATACAATAACAATTATCGTAATGTTATGGTCTAAATATTGAAAGTATTTATTAAAAAATTATGTTTTAACTTTTATCTCAAAAAAAAAATTTATGTTTTAACTCCACAACAATAAAAAAACAATCATAAAAGAAACTTTATTTCTATATACAATAACAATTATCGTAATGTTATATTCTAAATTACGTTAATTTATTTTTTTTATACTACACTCTTAATATCATGCCGTAAAGAAAACTCCAAATCTTACCCCCACAAAATAACCAATATACTTTTTTTCAGGTTGTTTTTCCCTAATTTATTTATTTTTAAGTTTTTTTCTTCCTCTATATTTCTCAACAAAGTCTTTTTCTATTGACATTTTCTTTTGTTGTTCTTTATTTTTTAACTACTCATTTTTCTTTAGTTTGTATTTTAATATTCATTAGAATTTGAATGTTAAATGTTTTCCTTGTCAAATTTTCTCTGTTAAGAAAATATCCTATATAGAAATGAAAATTTTATATTTTTTAATCTTTCGATGAATACATTATCAAATTATTAATTTCTTGATAGTTAAACATTGTTCATTCTTTTAGTCACGAAATTTGATATTTTCTTCAAACTAATTAAAAAATATTGATACGTCATTTTAAAGATTATTTTAATAATTAAGATACGAATTTAGTGGTCATATTATGTAACATAATATTAAAAATACGTTTACGCAATAATCCTTGAAAGTATTTTTAGGAACAAAATATTAACTATTCAAACACATTTTATTTTAATTAGTTCAAAATTTTCTTTCTAAAATATGTCAAAACAAGCTTAGCATTTATTATTGTTTGTAAGAAGTTAACTAATAGAAACTCTTCATTTAAACAAAATTACAATAATATCTTTATGGGCCCATAACAAAAGTTAAGACATGTATGGATTGTTCTAGATTTTCATTTTAATTATTAATTATACAGTTATTATTTTGCCCTTAAATAATGTTAAAATTACTAAAATGTCATTGGTCTTCGTTCTTTCTTCTATATAATAGATAGAAATTTAAGGGATCAATTTTGTCATTTCCCCACCTTATTGCTATCTCTATAAGGACTAATATTGTCATTTTCTTGACTTGGCCAAAAGAAGTCTATAAATCTTCCAAGTTGACTTTGACATTGAATAACAACTATGACAAGTTGTTGAATAATATAAACTCTTTTTGGTATAGTGGCTCCACCGTCATAAAGCTCTAAGTCTAAAAAATTGCAATGTATTGATTGAGAATCAAAGTTGGAACCTTCTCTAAACTTTCCCATTATATTAAAATTTCGAAGTTGGAAACTTCTCCGAAAGCCTTCACATTTTTCATGAACTATAAGTTGTATAATAGCAAAGCACTTTATAATTATTTCCTCATCATCAATCAATATCAAAATATTTCTTAATTGGAGTAAGCATGAGTAATTTGAAGCCCACGTTGAGTTTTGAACAAGGATGGCCTATATTGCAAGATGAAGCTATCAACAAAGTTATCCTCCTTGTTGAAGAAGGCCACACTTCCAACCAATTCACTTCTGAAGAGTATATGCATTTATACACGTATCCTATTTTCATACTTTTACTATACTATCCTGCATTCAGAATTTGAAGTTTATGTGTTCCCTGCAAGTATTTTAAATTTATTCAAAATTGTATATTGGCTAGTAGTATCTTAAGGTTTTATTGTGGGCAACTCCTCTCTTAACCAGAGGTCTCGGATTCTTTAATCCGAGCCTGAGTATGGAAAAATTCTTGGACTTGTATTTCCTAATTGAATTAACCAGAACAGTGTATAGCATGTGTGACAACAATCCAGCTGGCCCTGAAGCTCAAAAACTGTATCAGCAGTATAAGAAAACAATGGAAGGTTATGTCTCCTCAAAGGTAAGTGAAACTTTTGAGAGTTTTACATACATGATTGTTACTTCTTCTTTTTTTCGTTTTCTTGATATGATCATCGATGTTACAGGTAGTTCCATCTATTCAGGGAAAGAAAGACGACGTCTTGCTACACGAACTTGTTAAGAGGTGGAATAATCACAAAATCATAACCAGGTGGCTTTTCAGATTCTTTCATTACCTTGACAGATACTTAGTGCCTAGAAGGAGCCTCCCTTCGCTTCAGGAAACTGGCCATTTGACTTTCTATGAATTGGTTAGTTACGAGTACTTATCCATCGATATGTTGGATCAAATAGACGAATAATGTCAGTGTTTACATGGATTTTAATAAATTGTTGTAGGTCTATGGTGAAATGAATGATGGAGTGAGAGATGCTGTGATATCTTTGGTAGGTTTACTAAAAGAAGTCTCATGTACCTTAACTGGATCTTTGAATTTTGGTATCTATTTAATTTATAATAAGCTACTATGACTGTTAAAATAAGTTAATTATTGCCCATTGCACATGGCTACTTGTGTTAGCAATATGTTAAACTAGTAAAATCACCCGCGCATTGCGCGGTAATTTAATATCATGGAATTTATAATTTAAATTTAAAACATATCAGTCATTAATGAAGCTAAAATACTATATTATCTTATACAAGATTACATAGTAACAAATATTTATAATGTATAGAAAGATGATAATTATAACATCTTATCATTTATCTTTCAATCAATCATCTTTAATTTGCTTTTATAATTTATACTTTTTCTTTTAGGAAGTGTTACTATTTGATATTTTTGGAGAATCAAATTAACTTCAACCAGAGATATTAAATTATCATTGGTGAAGGGATGGATAAATTTTATAAAGGCTGAAAAAAGTGAACAAATATTTTAATTTTAACGTGTAGAAAGTTCAGCCCTACCTTTCACTTTACATCTATCATTTTAAAGTTCTCCATTTAAATGTATCATAAGTAATTATTAAAATGAAACATTAAAGGGAAAATGTATCATATTGGACAACAATTAAACTTATTATATATACTTGAAAGGGAAAAATGTTACACAAAACTATTAAGTTTGTTTGGGTATTTTTTTAAAATCAACATACCAAAGTGATGAAGTTCAATTTGTAACTACACAAACTTGAGAATCTTTGCATACTTCATATTGAATATGAGCTATTAACTTACTGTGTAGTTATCTATGTCTTTGGGATTAAAAGAGGCTCCAGTCTAGTCATATTCCTCTATAGGTCATCCGGCACATCCTTTAACACATGTCATAAGTTTATTAATTCTTGTCTTCTTTTCTAGGTTCACTTTGCACATCAAGGTGTGATAAAGTTTTTAAGGTCTTTATGTCCTTACAATGACATACCAAATTTGAATTTGTCTTCAAGAGAAGGTAGTATAGATCTTTAAGGAATTTTTTTACGGTACCTTTAATAATTTCAGCAGATAAAACTTGTGTGAATACTTAATTAACGTGTGTTATTTAATTTTTACTAACAAATATTTATCACAATAACTTTGCAGAAATATAAACAACAAAGTTTAAAACATGTACTCAAAAACAACAATTAATAACATAAGCATAAATTAATGACTGTAAAAAACATACCAAAATCTGTAACAATAAAATGAAAGATAAAGGAAAAAATCGAGCCCACTAAATGCACAGTGTCCCCTTAAGATATTATTCTTCTCTTGTACCCGAGGTTTAAAGGAATAGATCCTCTCAGGATAGAACGATTCTATTTACAAGTATATTGATACAAAAACAATTGTATAGTGAGCCACTCAACAGGAACAAAGTACACAAATATTTAAATGTGCAGAAGAAGAAGAAGAGGTTTAGAATTTTCGTTGTTTTAAAATGAGAGGAAATCCATCCATTTATAGACAACAAAGGATAGTGTGAACAAATGTTTATTGTGCCTTATCGGAAAGGTCACAACTCTTTGGAAAAGTTACAATCCTTCGAAAAGGTCATAACCTTTCATAAAAGTCACAACTTTTCATAAAAGTCACAACTTTTAATGAAAGGGGAAGGCTAGTTTTGAAAATATATAAATTAAAAGGGAATCTTGATTTGTGGTGGCGCCACATAGGCGGACTTAGCAACTTACATTTGGCTAATGTGATTAGCCTGTAATATTCTTGTTCATTTATGTTCACTAGTCCTTTAAATTCGAATGATCTAGCTAGATCGCCTTTTTCTCGGTCTACTGGTTCTTTCCATACTCCTCTGAAATAGTCTAGTATAACAACGATGTATACTTCCATAATCAGGGGTAGAGCATAGTGCCGAGGGGGTTCAAATGAACGCCTTTCGGCTGAAAAATACACATTTGTATATGGTTAATATAAGTTTTGTGTATAAAGTAGAAGTAGAAGTTGGACCTCCTTCTGCTTCTTCGTGAGTTTACTTCTTCATATTTTGAACCTCCTTAATAAAATTTTTGGCTCTGCCACTGTCCATAGTCCAGAAACACATTTCTCCTGTTCTAGAACTTCTGCTCGATTTCATATTTCTCTGGCTTCCTGAGGCCATATTGGACAGTTCTGTTTTTCTCTTTATAATCAATTCTATGTATTATATTTTACACTTAGTTTCTCTTTTACTTGTTACCATGATTCAGATTAATAGAGAACGCGAAGGAGAGCAAATAGATCAGGCCTTAGTGAAGAACATTTTGGATATATATGTAGAGATAGGTGGAGACACCATGAAGTATTACGAGAAAGATTTTGAAGAATCGATGCTGAAGGATACTGCTGTATTCTACTCTAAGAAAGCCTCAGATTGGATTGCAAGCAAATCTTATGAGGAGTACATGCTGAAGGTTAATTCTATTTCGCTTGCTTTGCATATTGAATAAACTAAATAGTTCCATTACATACCAAATGTTGATGAAATTCAGGTTGAGGAATGCTTGAAGGACGAGGAAAGGAGGGTTCAAAGTTATTTGAAAGACATAAGCAAACATAAGTTATTGGAGGTTTGTAATAGACTGCATCGTCGTATTCTTTATATTCTGATGCATATTGCAGAGTTAGTAGATGTTTTTTTTTTTTTTTATAGTAGATGTTGTTAAGACTATCTTTGACATATCTATAAATGCAATTTTTATCAGCCATTAAGTGTTTTTGGTTCTTTTCTTAGTAAGTGATTTTGATCATGATGTGATTAAGTACTCACTCTAAATGCAGGTTGTAGAATATGAGTTCCTTACTGTACATGCAAGCAAACTAGAAGAGAAGAAACAAATCAATCTTGGAGCTGCTTAAAAATGAAACACTTCTTGAAGAAGAGGTTGTGCCTTTATGTGATTTGAGTGTGACTACTATTTGATAAGTCCTAAATATTCATTTTCACCTAAACAAGTTGTTGTACTTTATTTGCTTTTGCTCTTTCAATCCTTTATATAAATGTACCTTGGGGATAGTGAATGCATTTTAATTGATATAGTGAAGTGTTTTAGTTTGATTGTGTAATAAAGTTACAAGAACGCGAAGAATTTTTTGAATTTTATAGTCTTAAACTATATATAATATATCAAAGTATACTATTTGAATTTTTTGTAGTTTTAAACATGTGTCATGTTATTCCTATATAAGAGTGCCTTAAAGGTGTATTCAATATGAAAGGAAAGTATTTTCCATGAAAAAAATATTTTCTTGAAAAGAATTTCTAAGAAAATAAGTGAGTTTCCTACCTTATTTTCTTGTGTTGAGTACATAAGTAAAAAAAACATTATCCTAAATCTTTTTTAGACAAACACTATGTTATAATATTCTTTTAATATTATAACATGATTGGATCATGAATCTAACACCAAAGTCTTTTCTTTTTTTTTTGCGTTAGGGCTAAATTTGGGCAAATGTCCAATTGACCGTGGATTTTAAATCAAAATCAAAATTTTATCATGGATTTGGAATCTTAAGTTGTGAGCTTTGTAGGTTTGGCGTGGGTTGATCAGAAGTTGACTTGATGACTAGAATTTGGCGTGTGTTTGGGGCAGATTTGGGGTGGGCTGATCAAAAGTTGACTTGATGACTAGAATTTGGCGTGTGTTTGGGGCAGATTTGGGGCGGGCTGATCAAAAGTTGACTTGATTGACTAAAATTTCAACAGATTGAAAATGATTATTTTAGGCCAAACATATATGCACAGTACTTAAACTTGTCTCTAAATTTTATTTTCGCATTTCAACTCAATTTTATTTCATTTTAATCCTTTACCTCCAATTTTCATGTTCCATAGACACTTTTAAATGATGTGGTAGAATGTGTGCATCACACTTTTTCTAAGAGAATAAAAGTCAAGAAAAAAAAATATTTACAGAAATAATAAAAGATTAACCCTTCAATTCTATTTTTTATGTATCGTTTAAATACAAAATACTAATTTTATGATTTCTTTATTTCTATATATGTTCTTCAACTGCAATTTTCCATTTTAAAAATCGGCGTACGTCCGTTATTTATCGTAAAAAATTAAAAATTGACGGATGACCATTGATATTTTTTTTTAAAAAAGTAACAATTTCTTTTTGAGAGATTCTCTATACTTTTGCGTGAAAAATAACTAACGAAAGTGTGTCAATTTTCTTTTATAAAAAAAAACAATGACAACTCAACGAAATATGTCGAGTTTTAGCGTTTTTAAGTAGTGTTATTAATTAGCAATGAACATGAGTTTTTTTTACTCGTATTTAGTTGAATGAAAAATTAGAAAGTTAGTATTTGAGTTAAATCCAAATAGACTGGATATGAAAAAAAATATGTGGTGCTATTTAATTAATTGCTTAAGAAAGAAAATCGACAGACTTTCGTCGGTTATTTTTTCACAAAAAATGTTGAGGAACTCTAAAAAATATTTTTTAAAAAAACAAATAAATTGAAAAAAAATTGATGTTCATCCGTTAATTATTTTTTTAAAAAAAAGTTGTAGTGTTGATTTTTAAAATGAAAAAGTGGAAATGAAGAACATAAATAAAAATGAAGATATCATAAAATTAGTATTCTGTGTTTAAATGGTATATAAAAATAGAGTTGAAGGGTTAAAATAGAACAAAACTAAGATAGAAGAGTGTCAAAATGAAAAACCAGGGCAAGTTAGAGGAGTTGTGTATGTGTTTTTAATTGACTTTTGTGTCATGTCATGGCATGTGAAGTAGACACATTCCACTTTGTTGATTCTTTGGAAATAAGTGTTTAAATGAAACATTGAAGAATTAAAATGGAACAAGATTGAGTTGGAGTGCCAAATGAAACTTAGGGACAAATTTAAGGATCTCAATATATGTTCGGCCATTATTTTAAGATATTTGGTCGTTTGAGTATGATTTTGAATAGAAGAAGATCATTGGATCATTTGGAGCGGTAGCATTTCAAGTGAACTAAAGTTTCGAGGCTAGTGAGGGTGTTTGGAGTGATTTGTTTTAATTGTTTTTTATTTTTAACATTTAAGATAGTTGTGTATATTTGAAGAAGCCACAAAATACGAGTTTGAAGTTAAAAGGTTAACTTTTTTTCTTCAAAAAGTATAAACGGTATATCAATTTTTTTTTAAATCAAAAGGGTAAAATCGATATCTTTTGCACATAATTAACTCTGTCTACTTCGTTAAATTTTTTTGATTAAAATCACTGCCCCAGCAGCGATTTTGTCAAAAAAAAAAAATCAGCCTCCCAGGAAGTCGCTGCCAAAGCAGCGATAATTTTTTTAAAAAAATAAAAATTAGGGAGAATATTTGTTTTCTGCCCGCTAAAGCTGCCAATGATTTTTGTTTTTTTTTTCAAAAAAAAGTTAATCTGAAAATTGGTGCTGGAGCAGTGATTTTAACCAATTTACTTTTAAGAAATCGCTGTTGGAATAGCGATTTTAATTTTTTAATTTTTTTTTGAAAAAATTGCTGCTCCAACAGTAATTTTCAGATTAATTTTTTTTAAAAAAAAATAAAACAAAAATCGTTGGCAAAAGAAATACGGGCAGAAAAAAAACATAATCTCGCTAATTTTTTATTTTTTTGAATTATCACTGCTTTGGCAGCGTTTTCTCCTTTTTTAAAAAAAATTTCGCTACCCCTGAAGCGATTTTAAACAATAGAAAATTTACAAAGGATATCGCTCCTGGGGGAGCGATTTTGCCCTTTCGATTTTAAAAAAATTGATATATCGTTTATGCTTTTAAAAAAAATAAAGTTATCCTTTTGACTCCGGACTCCATAAAATACTGCCGATGAGGAAACACTTGTTAACAATGGGAGCCAAGGAAAAATGAAATTACCCCATGACCAACAACAATTGACTTTCACATGACCTAGAAATTTGATGGACATCTTAGCGACAGAAGTTGATACCATATATTGATCATTATCGTCAGAAGAAGAAGAGCCAAAGTGAAGAAATTTGTTCTTATTTGTTACAAATGCTCAACTATTTTATTTTATTTTATAGGCTAAATAATTATAAACAGTTATAAAAAATGAATAGTTTTTATCCTTTCATCTTCCATTTTCATTTACTTAAATCTATATTAGTGTAATGGATGTTATAAAGGGCATAATTAATCGGGTATGACATAAATACTTTTTTTTAAAATACAAATAAAAAATACAAAACAAAGATAAAATGTCGAAAAAAAAGAAAAAAAAGATGAATAGAAATACTGGTCATAGAGAGATGCCACATCAAATTGTCAATATTCAGCTTTATATATACATATATAGGTTCATGCCCTTAGATGTTATTTTATTACTTTAGCTGACATCGACATTTTTGTAAATCTGATATCTACTTGGGAACATTTTATAATGTGGCATAGGCTGACAATTGAGATCATAAATTTAAAATAATAAAATTTAATTTATTATAATACTAATATCAATATCATAAAGATATATATATATATATATATCATTTAAAAAATATATAAAAAGTATTATAAATTGTAATAATTAACCGCTTTATTTTTTTTAAATCATATAACTAATTTGATTTACACTCCAAAATTCATAGGTGTCACATAATTTACACATTAATTCTTCATTACTTAATATATGTAATTATATCAATGACATATAAATTGAAATAAAAAAATTACATATTTTATTTGAAAATCACGTAATAGTACTATAAGGTATAATAATTAACAACTTAACATATTTTAAAATTTTAGTTGACTCTCCGAATTCCATATGTCTCATGTAATTGAGACAGAGAAAAACATATATTGGTTTAAAATTAATAAAAATATTATAAATTATAATAATTAACAACTTAAAATTTATAAAAAAAAAACCTTTAAAAAAATTTAGTTGGCTCTCCAAAATTAATCGGTATTACAATAATTAAAACATAGAAATTAACATAGATTGGACTCCTGCTGACATTTATGTTTCCTTTTTCTAATTTTTTTCTTTTATACTTTATATAAATAAATTTTTTATGTAAAAAGTATTATAAATCATAATAATTAATAGCTTAAAATATTTCAAAACATATAAAAAGTTTTTGTTAACTTTCAAAATTTCATCTATACCGCATAAATTGGGAGAAATATAGATATATAGATATTTTAAGTTGCTAATTATTGTGAGTTATAGTATGTTTTATGTAATTTTCATATATATTACTCGCTTTGTCCTGATTTATGTGATACAAATGAAATTTCAAAAGTCAATGAATTTTTTATAAGTTTTTTTTTATATTAACTTTTTAATTATTGTGATTTATAATATATTTACGTAAATATATTATAAATCACAATAATTAAAAAGTTAATATAAAAAAAAACTTATAAAAAATTCATTGACTTTTGAAATTTCATTTGTATCACATAAATCAGGACAAAGCGAGTAATATATATGAAAATTACATAAAACGTACTATAACTCACAATAATTAGCAACTTAAAATATCTATATATCTATATTTCTCCCAATTTATGTAGTATAGATGAAATTTTGAAAGTTAACAAAAACTTTTTATATGTTTTAAAATATTTTAAGCTATTAATTATTATGATTTATAATACTTTTTACATAAAAAATTTATTTATATAAAGTATAAAAGAAAATTTTTTAAAAAGGGAACATAAATGTTAGCAGGAGTCCAATCTATGTTAATTTCTATGTTTTAATTATTGTAATACCGATTGAATTTGGAGAGCCAACTAAATTTTTTTAAAGGATTTTTTTTATAAATTTTAAGTTGTTAATTATTATAATTTATAATATTTTTATTAATTTTAAACCAATATATGTTTTTCTCTGTCTCAATTACATGAGACATGTGGAATTTGGAGAGTCAACTAAAATTTTAAAATATGTTAAGTTGTTAATTATTATACCTTATAGTACTATTATGTGATTTTCAAATAAAATATGTAATTTTTTTATTTCAATTTATATGTCATTGATATAATTACATATATTGAGTAATGAAGAATTAATGT